CTGCAGGTTTCATCACTCTGACCAAACCTGACTGAACCAGCAGCAGAAGATCAAACTACGCTTCATGTTTGACAAACGTACCAAAGAGCAGAGTTCTCTTTTTCTCTCCTCCTTATTGTGTCGTACATGTCATTGTTTTTCTTTATGCCACCTGTTCTGACCGGTCTCCCCGATGTGGCGTCTGTGTAATGAAGAGGTCCTGTTTCTCTGCTGTTACGTCCTGCACAGCTCTCTCTCTCTCTCTCTCAGAGACCAGTTTACCATCAAATCTGTTTTCTGCATCATTCTCTGCTGCTGTGTTCAGTGCTGTCTGACAGCAAAGCCTCATCTCTGTTCACACTGAACACACTGAATTTTAAGCTTATGTGCTCTAAAATGCCTTCATGTGTTTCTGTTGTAGCCTCTGCTGTGATGCTCTCACCTCTGATCAAGTCTCACAGCTTTGTTTTATACACAGACAGAACATCTGGAGATGAACTGATAACTGATCAGAATTTGAATATTTCTGACTGACTGAGTGAAAAGTGAATCGATTATAGACACCAGTGAGGATACCCAGGCCTACCACACACACACACACACACACACACACACACACACACACACACTGGTTAGATTTGGTGACCTGTGTGGACAAGAAGTCAGCAGCTCGGTGAGGGGAGGAGTCAAAAACACACGTGGACCCTCAGTACCTAAAACCTTTTTGAAACATGAGTGAGTGACAGGTGGGAGCGGACGACAGGAAACACCCACGCGGTGATTCAGGTAAAAATCGTCACGTGGGCAGAAGGTGGGTTCAGGAAGTGTTACCTGTGAATAATCCGAAACTCATCCCGGAGTAGCGGGAACTTGCTCACATCCAAACTTCCCGCATTGACTCACGCTCTGTGAGGTCAGAGCGCGAGCCCCGCTGTGTCTGTGACGCAGCAGCACCGAATAAGTTCCGTCAGTTGTGACGGAATGACCGGAAAACCCCGCGCGGAAGCATAAAAATGAGAAAGCGGCTGGAATGAAAGTTCAGAGAGAGTCCGAGCAGCTGCACGGCAGACACGCACCGAAACAGTGACACCCACGGACCCGCAGACATGAACGCGTTCACAGGTAAGAGCATGCGCCGTGAGGCAGGAGGGGCTGCTAAACTCTGCAGAAATACGCACGGAGCTTGGTAGAAGAGTCGGGTCACTTTAAAAAAGTGAGCTGCAGAGCCTCACCTGAGCCTCACCTGAGCCTCAGTCCGGCACAGGTGAGGCTCAGGTGACGGGGGCTGACGGGGGTCTGTATGGAGGGTCACTAGTGCCAAACAAGTTAGAAGGAGCTGGAGGAAGTGCAGTCCTGAGAATCACACCTGCAGACACTGTATGTGTGCGCACAGGTGTGATCTTGGTGTGGCGGTGGATCACAGGACCGCTTTAAATATTCGGATGGCTCGCAAACTTTTCACGTGTCATGCAGCTGAGACACAGCCGAGGGCGAGAAGGCCCTGCGCTTGTTTATGTGAGTGACAGTATAAGTAGGTCTACCTGCATCTGACTCTGTCCTCCTCCGGGTTGTTCTGGTCCAGCTCAGAGCTCCGGGCTGCTGAAGGTTCAGGAATAGTTGAAGCAAAACCACCGTCAGGCTTGCAGATTAAAATAAAACATAATCGGTGTGTTCAGAGTCCCTGAAGCTGTTTCCATACGAATCCAGGAAACTGTGAAAAAGTTTATTTATAAGCTTTAATCAATAACTCCCCAAAAGTTCATTGATGATTGATTATCAGAGTGTGAGGGTGCAGAAACAAATGAGTAAACATCATAGTTCTGACTGTCAGCCACTTTTTAAGATTTTAATGATTAATTAGCTCTTAATGAATAATTAATGATTAATTAATGCTTTATTAACATCGTCACATCTGATTGGACCACAGTTTTTTCTTTCTGTGCTTGGTATCAGAGATTATCTTTGTTGTTGGCTCTTCTCAGGGGTCACTCTCTTTGTTTTTCCAGTTGTTGCCCTGCTGCACTGCTGCCTGTTAGCAGCGCTGGTTCAATCGGCTCCCGTCAGCTCGCCGTCCAACCCCAAAGAGGCGGTCGAGCGAGTGATGAGGCTGGTGGAGAAAATCCGGAAAGACGTCCGCTCCGTGCACGGCAGCATCATCAACATTGACGTACGCACACGCGCATCCATATCACGGCGCAGCCGGACCACCGTGTGCTGTCACGCTTTGCAAAAGCTGCAGTAAGCTGCAGTGCCAGCAGGGGGCGATATGTTATTACTAGCCAACATTGTTAACACATTTACTTGCAAGGCGTGTTAGCCATCAATCCTGGAATAGAAGAAATCTGGAACGTACGTCATAGCTTCCTTGGTCACTAGCGGCTCCCCCTGGTGGAACTGCAGCTTACTGCAGCTTCTGCATGCTTGTCCACTTCAGGTTTGTGAAGCATGACAGCACACAATGGGCAGGTGTGTCTTTTAAACGGTTTGCCGTGGTACTGTGTTCAACTTGCTGCTCCTTCTTCTTCTTCTTGAGCTAATAGATGTTTACTGTCCTCCTCAGGGTTTTACCCTCGACTCCTCCAGTCAGACCGGAGAGCTGGAGATGAAGAGGATAAACCTGGGAATCCCTGACCCCCCCGTCCTCAAAGAGCTGTCCGAACAGTTCACAGCGGTCAGTCTCCAGCTCGGGTGGTGCTGTGGGTGGTATTGGGGAGTTCTTTGGTTCCTTTGGGCTCATTAATGGTTTCATTTGGTCCTTGAATGCAATTGGGAGGGTTTAGTGATGTCATAGAGGGCTCTGGGAGTGCATGTGCTTTGGTCATGGGGGAGGTTCAGGAGGCTATTGACAGTTTTTTGGTTCCTTTACTGCCCATTAAAGAATTACTGAATCGCTCCAGGTGTTTGTGTAGTGGTCGAGTCTGTTCTGGTGATGTAATGTGATGGGTTTGTGTTTCCCTGCAGGACATGTGTGTGAGCCGTATGCTGGCGGGCGGGCGGCTGTACCAGGGGCTGCTGGTAGATTTGTCTCGCAGACTGGGGGGACTGGAGGCTCTGAGTGCTGAACTGAGAGACCTGGTGACCCACATCAACCAGGTAACACACACAGCGGCTGAGAGCGTGCACTTCCTGTTGTCTGCAGTTGAAACCCTTCATAGGTCGTGTCCAAATTCATGGGCTGCTTCCTCCTGAGG